ACTTGGGGGTTCTGCTGGGGGGGGGGGGGGGGTGGCATCCTCACAAAGCGGCCATGTTTTCATTAAGTCAAGATGCGAAGAGAATTCCCTGAGGAAAAGCTGAGCACAGAGTGGGTTTTCCTGAGGGCCTGGAGGGAGAGTTTGGGAGAGAAAGGGGAGGTGACAGGTCAGCTCAGATCTTTAGTTCTTGGCTATAGCTGAACTATGGGTGGTTGTGGTACAACTGTGTTAATAAGCAAGCTCCAGGATCTCTCCCAAGCCCCACTGATTCGGAATCTCTGTGGTGTGGAGGTTTGCATATTAACAGGCACCTAGCATGACTATGATGTGCAGCTGGGTAGGGAATCCCCTGCGCTAGATGCTAATTGGTATCTCTTCCAGCTATAAAACTGTAAGAAGGATGAGCCTTTGGATCAGGGCCCTAGCACTGAGCAACAAGGAAGAAATGGATTCAGTGAGCATTTCAAAAGCTGACTCAAGGTGAGAATATGAGAGAGGTGGCGCTAGTCAAAGGGGTTGGAAACATTTTTAAGCCCCACATTAGGACTCTTTTGTGATTGCTACACCATAAGTTTGTTTGCATGTGGCTTAAGTTAAAGGAAATGTATTGGCTTAAGAATTGAACTGTATCCAGTTATGGTCAGGGGCACCTGGAGGCAAGTATTCAAGTAATGCCAGCAGACATGTGACCCCACCCCACCCCCATCACCTTTTGGCTCTGCTTTCTAGTGTGTTGACTCCCATTCAGGTTCTACCAGTGTGGTGGCCAAGATGGGTACCATCAGTTCCCGCCTTAGCTGGAAGTTCCTCAAAATCCTGGGCAGCAAGTGTCTGCTCCAGTCTCCTTTTATAAAGTATAAATAAGAACATAGCCATCCGTCAGAACAGTGTTCCAGTTCCCTATCACCCATTCCCTGCCCAAACTCTGTAATTCAAGGCGTTAAGGAGTTTTAGGTTCATAGACTGGACTTGCTTGATCCTCAAAGGTCTCAAGTGACATCGGAGAGGTGCTGAGTGCGTCATTGGTAGGAGCTGGTGAAAGGCACACCATTTCAGTGCCCTTAAACTTGACTATTCATTGTGATCACGTGACAGAAATGCTTACTACCTGAAGCCTGAGATTTTTAATGTAATGTGAGAAGTAAGAGAGTGGGGGCAGCAAAGGTCTCGTTAAATCCCAACCACTGATACTTGACCTGCCACCAGGAGAGGCCTTTATTTTTCTTTTTTAATACCTGTCACCAGACACCAAGAAATATTGCAGTCCCTAGCCCCTGCTTTTTGTACTGTGCAGTCCCAAATCATGGAAGTCTGCAGAGAGTAGCTTGTAGGCTGCAGAGGAGGGCAAGCTTTTTTTAATTAAAAAAAAAAAATTGTCTGGACACCTGGCTCAGTTGTTTAAGTGTCTGACTTAAGCCCTATGTCGGGCTCTGTGCTGACAGCTCAGAGCCTGGAGCCTGCTTTGGATTCTTTGTCTCTCTCTCTCTCTCTCTCTGTGCCCCTCCCTTGCTCGCGCTCTATCTTTCCCTGTCTCTCAAAAATAATAAACATTAAAAAAAATTGTCAAATAGTTTGGGCATACAAAATAATACAGATAATAACATGATGAATTTCTGTGTACCTAGCACTCATCTTAAGAAATAAAAATTTCGGGGCACCTGGGTGGCTCAGTCGGTAGAGCATCTGACTCTTGATATCTGCTGAAGTCATTGTATGTTTGAGCCCCATGTTGGGCTCTGCACTGACAGCCTGGAGCCGCTTGGCATTTTCCTCTCCCTTTCTCTGCTCCTCCCCTGCTCTTGCTTTCTCTCTCTCACTCTCAGAATGAAGAAATAAACTTAAAAAATTTTAAATCCCCAGAGATAACCACCATCCTGCATCTGATGTTTATCATCCTCCCGTATGTTTACTTTTACTACACAAGTGTGTGAACAACACAGAGTGCTACTTTGCTTGCTTTCAAGCTTCATCTAAGGTATTATTCTTTTGAAAGTTGCTTTTTTCCTCTTTGGCCTTATGTGGGTATGTGACATTCTGGTTTGTTCATTTTCACTGCTATGTAGTATTCCTCTTAAACACATTACATATATTCATGTTCTCCTTTGCATGGACAGCAACGTTATTTTTAGTTCTTCACTATTACAAACCTGGCTGCTGTGAACATTGTTGAATGGGTCTTGTGTAAATGTAGAAGATTTCTTTAGGTTACATATGTAGGTGTAGGACTACAGGGCTGGAGGGTGTATGTGCATCTTCATTCCTCCTAGACATTCCCAAATGGTTGTCCAAAATGTTTGGGTCAGCTTATACTGCCCCTGGTTCTTTCTGAGCTGTCCCCCACACTCATATCCACTCCAAAGCTTGGATGATCCAACGTTTATTTTATTCCTTAATTTTTGCCAATCTGAAAATAAAATGGAATCGCTTTATTGTTTACATTTGTATTTCCCTGATTACTAATGTCAAAGCCTTTGTTCAAGCAGAAGCTCAATATGTAAAGCTAAACTGGACAGAGTTATTTGGAACAGGGCAGTATTTCATATTTAAGGTAGCTATGCTATTACATTGACTGTTTTCGAACCTTTGGATGATACCTGTGCTCCTAAATGTGGAGCATAATTTCAAGGAAACGAGTTTGTGTTGAATCTTATCAGTAGCATATTTTGGCCAGTCTTTTGCATGATTTGTAACTGACTGTGATTTTAGCATTATCTGTGACACAGCCTTCTGATCCTTTTACATAAGTTAATTGGGAGCTGGCTTTAATAGTAGGTATGAAAACCCACCCACAGGGCTCAGGAAGGGAAGACATCAGAGTCCTTATGGCAGGGGTCCTTGAATTTACCAGACATGCTCCTGATTTTGTACCTTTGCTCTCACTGTCTCCTCTGCCTGGAATGCTCCTCACCCAGAAATGCCCATGACTCATATCCTCACCTCCTTCAAGTTGTCGTCAGATCTCACCATCTTAGTGAGTATGTTCCCAGCTTTGCACTGCATAAAAATATCTACCAGCCCATCGGCCACTCCTGTATCCCTCCCTGTTCAAGGGTATACCTCCTTCATAGTCCTTATAGCCAGATAACTTTCTATATAAGCTATTTAGTTACTATTTGCTTTGAGTGCTTCTTCCTTCTTTGTCTTTCCCCTACCACCTTGACAATGTAATTTCCTCAAGGGCAGGCATCTATGTCCGTTTTGTTCACTGCTGTCTTCCTGGTACCTAAAACAGTGCCTGGCACATGGTAAGTACTCCGTATAGATTTGTTGGTTAATAAATGGTCTGAAGTTAGCAAGAAAAAGAGCAGAGGGGAAAATTTCTGAGAGACACACACAGAGAGAAAGAGAGAGAGAGAATACATGTGCCAAGACCTGGAGACAACTCAGCAGTCTGCTGACCAGAAGTGAAAATGGATGGAAAGTATGAATATGTGACTGTGGCCACGGTTATGAAGGGCTGTCCACCGAGGCTGGAGGTGCTGGAGGCAGTTGCTAGAGATGTAAATAGGAGCCATCATCGTCACTTTGGACTCAATCTTGAGGGCAGTCAGGAGCCCTTACCTTATTTTAATCAAAAGAATAACACAGTACTAATTGCATTTTAGAAGAACTTCACTCTGGTGCCAACAAGAAGAAATCAGAGGGTGGGAGTTAAGGATAAGACTGGAGGCAGGTGGACCATCTAGGGAGCTGACAGAGCAATCGAAGTGAGAGAAGATGGTGGCCTCATCACGTAGCAGGAGGAGGACTAAGAGAAGAGGACAACATTGGGAGATGCTTAGGACATCTCTAGTGTCTTCCTGTGATCCCTGAAGTCAGTGGAATCTGAGTGTCTCTCAGCATCTGGACTTCGTTGAGCTTCCCCTGAGCATGCTCGTAAGTAACTGAATTGGAAAGCTGTCTGGAGTGCCCCACCCACATCTTCACCTCTCCTCTTGATGAAAGAAATCTGGAGCAAGACTTCCATTATTCAGCAGAGCAGTGGATAATGGAGCAGTGCACTGATTGGACTCGAAGCTTTTGGAAGGAAGGTAGCATTCCTCGTCCAAGTTTCCCTGGCCTCCAACTCTTTTGTGCAAGTAAATTAGTTTCATTTGTCTCAGGGCACCTTTTCCAGGCCAGCTCCTTCCAACTTGCCTGCGAATGTCTCTCAGTGGTGTGTTTGAGGCTTGGCTGCGTCTCCTTGTCTGGAACAAATCTTTTATTACAAGGAAATAGCTGGATGATGATTCTGGACTCTTGGACCCTATTCCCCTCTCAGCTGTTGACTCAGTATCTGATACCTTGGTAATTTTCAGCTCAACCTGCCTCCTTTCCTGCCTGTTTCTCATTAATACGACTTACATGCTGGAGGCTGAATTTCAAGTCTACCACCTCAGGAATCTTGAGCGAGACAGTTAGGATTAACACCTGTTTCTTCAAGACTTTCCGAGGATGTGATGGAGGCACATATGTTCTTTTCTTTGCTCACCTCCTGGACTCGCATGGTTTTCCTTTGGTGTGGTGGTCATGCATTCCACCGCAACCTAAAACCATCCAGATGATGGAAGTATCATGTTGCTCGTTTCACATGGGAAAGCCACGACCCACCCTTGTCTTGTTCATGTTGCGTTCAAATCTAATTTGCGTGGCCTCTCTGAGTGTGAGCACCACAACCCCTGTGTCAGCTGTTGAAGCTTAGCAATGCTATTTCCAAACATGGGCCATTCGGCAGGCAGCAGGCACTCGACAGCTGAGTGGGGCAGAAAAAGTCTCAGACACCTAAGGCAGGCCAAACAGTGACTCATGCTGCTATTGCCAGGATAAATATGGGAATAAATGGTATTTTTCTCTAAGCAGGAAGAATTGTCAAAATGCTTATCACTTTATAAAATATAACAGATTGTGCCTGTTCATGTTTTGAAATGTTCCAACTATTCACTAGCTGGGTTGTTTTGTTTTGTTTTGTTTTATTTTTTATGAGTTTAGTAATAGCTTTAACTTGTTTTTCCTCTTCCTAGGAGGCCTGGAGAACTCAGGAGTTTCCAGGCTGTGCTGCCTCCAGAGCTCTGGATCCACTTGGCCGTGGTGGCCTGTGGCAATCGGCTGGAGGAGACACTGGTCATGCTCAAATCAGCTGTACTCTTTAGCCACAGGAAGATCCAGTTCCACATCTTCACAGAAGACTCTCTGAAGCCAGAGTTTGAGAAGCAGGTGAATGTGTATAAATGGCAGCACCATATTCCTGAGTGCAGACAGACTGCATTTTGGGAAATGCATATCCTGGTTGCTAATGTATTTCTGCTGTGGACTCAGCTGTGTGGCCATAAACTCTTGACTGTCAGCCTTACTGTTCTTACTTATAATGCGGGGATCATTACACTTGCCTTACAGAGATACTGTAAGGGTTCTATGTGATGATGCCCTTGAAGCCCAGGGCTTGAGCCTCTGGTGTCGTTAACATTGTTCTTATTTGGGGGACAGGTAGCTTTTTAAAAAAATCTATTTATATATGTTTTTTGAATGACAAGTAATAGATGTTCATTAAAATAAATTCAAATGATACAGATGTTATGAATTAAAAGGTACGAGTCCTTGCTACCCTCAGTCTCACATAAGATACTATCAGAGTTAACGATTTTGAGTTATTTTTCCATATTTTTTCATGTGCAGATGTGTGTGTGTGTGTATGTATGTATCTGTGTGAGTATATGTATATGTGTGTACATGTGTATTTGTATATATAAACATCTGCATGTTTGGGGAGCTATTCCTGCCCATGGGTCCTATCCCTGTGCTTTAATAAAGTCACCTTTTGGCACTGAAAAAAAATTAAACATCTACATGTTTAACACATGCAATTGTATGTGCCTGGATTCAAGTGTGTTTCTTTTACAAAATCAAAGTTATTCTCCATGTGTTGCTCTGGAACTTGCTTTTCCCCCCTTAAAACCATATTGTCAGCATCATTCCAGGTCAGGACTCAAACATTCTTACCTCTTCTCTTCTGGTGGCTGAACAGTATTTTGTTGTATATCTGGATCCTTGTTTATTTGATTTTTCCTACAGTGAGGAACAAGTAATGATTTTTTACCAGTACACAAGGAGAGCTTTGGAACGACCTCTTGTCCTCAGTCTAGGTACATGTGTGACTTTGCAGAGCAAACTTTGCTTTGTCTCGGAAGTTTTCTCTTGCCATAAGGCCTCGAGTACTGGAAGAGTGAGACCCTGTTTTGCTCTGTGTCTATTGACTGGGGTCAAAGCAGGGCGGCCTCCTGTCGCCAGGTTGGCCGCACTAATGAGAAATGCCATAGAGGCATGTTGAGCAGAGAAAGGCTAATAACAGAAAGCTAGAAAACATGTTAGGTTTTCTAAAGAAAAATATCATCTTGACATCCTCACCAAGGGAAGCCAAAGAACAAATAGTCTTGAAGCTTTGAAATTGATTGGAAACTGCCTTGAAAAAGATCTGAGTCAAAGGAAGGCGAAGGGGATGGAACACATGTGGTTAGCTGCTCTGAAGCTGTGGGGACAGGAGATGGTGATGATGGTGATGGTGATGGTGATTATCATCTATCAAGGGCTTCTGATTTGTGATGTACTCTTCTTTAACCCTTACGGGAAGGTAGCACTCCTGTTTCTGTTTTGCAAACAGATCATCGAGGCATAGAGAGTGTTAGTGGTTTGCTCATCAGGTGTCAGTTCAAGGTCACAGACTCAAAGCTCCGTGAGCCTAACCACTGTGCCATACTCCATCTCAAGCTAGTAGGCAGAAGACTCAAATGCAAACCTCACCTCCACTGTGCACCTGCTGCTTGATCTCCAGCAAGCCTGGTGGCCTTTTAGAGCTTCAGCTTCCCTGTTTGTAACTTGAAGCTAATAGCATTGATCAAAAGAGCTAAGGTATCTGGAATCAGGATAGGCTAGGTCAGGCTGCTGTAACACCTCCTGAAAAGCTCAGAGACTTGCCTTGTGCCTGCTACATGTTTCACACAGGCACTCAGGTCTGGGACCGAAGATGACAAAGACTGTTCATGCTCTTTTTTTTGTAAGTTTATATATATATTTTTAGTAATCCCTATACCCAACGTGGGGCTCGAACTCACAACCCTGAGATCAAGAGTCTTACGCTCTTCTGACTGAGCCAGGCAGGTGCTCCAAGACTATTCATGCTTTGAGTTGCACCTGCTGGAACATTTGGCATCTAAAGTTCTTGGGATGCCATACAGGAAAGAGAGAGACAAGTGCTTCATGACTATGCGTTTCACTCCCTCAATTTGACAGCTATGTGAGTCTTTTCTGCTCACATGTAACTGCCCAGAAGCAGTCACGAGGCTCACCCAGCGGCAAGGGGCTGAGAAGTGCTCAGTGTGCAGGAAGGGAGGATAAACTAGCTGTGGGCAAACTCTAGCAATGTCTTACACAATATCCATCTAACAAGTATTTCTTGAGTACCCACTGTGTGCTAGAGGCTGGGACATGAGACGGAGCAGAACAAACTAGACTTGAACTTAAAAAAGATGAGGGGAAGGAAGATGCGTGTATGTACAATTATGTATATGGAGCAGACCGTGTTTTCCAGAGAAGCCCCAGCACTCCCACCTTGTGTTACTCACATCCTCCTGTGCTTCCCTCCTTCACTGACCCAGGATTGGCCTCTGTGACCAGCAGCATAGGGAGAATGCGACACAACATCAGTTCTGAAGTTAGGATTTATTTATTTATTTATTTATTTATTTATTTATTTATTTATTCATTTAATTTATTTTTTTAATAAATTTTTAATGTTTATTTTTGAGACAGAGAGAGACAGAGCATCAGTGGGCGTGGGGCACAGAACGAGGGAGACACAGAGTCCAAAGCAGGCTCCAGGCTCTGAGCTGTCAGCACACAGCCCGACGCAGGGCTCAAACCCACAAACAGTGAGATCATGACCTGAGCCGAAGTCGGACACTTAACCAACTGAGCCACTCGGGGCCCCTGAAATTAGGTTTTAAAAGGCACTGCGCTTTCTATCTTGGTCACATTCACTTTCCCCTTGGGTCACTTGCTGTGGGGTAAGCCACTTTCATGTCAGAGCAGCCCTTGTAGAGGTTGACATGATAAGGATTGAAAGCTGCTTGTAACACACGAGTGAGCTTAGAAATGGAAGGTCCCGCCCCATGAAGCCTTCAGATGACTGTAGCCCCAGTCACAACTTAGACTGCACTCTCATGAGCCACCCAAGCCAGAACAGCCCAGCTTACAGAATTTTGACTCTAAGAAACTACATGAGAGAATACGTTTTTGTGGTTTTGAGCTACTAAGTTTTGGGGATAACTTGTTATAAGATAATAGCTAATGCATACACATCTACTTATGTCTTACATATGTATGTATGTATAAAAGAGAGTATGCTAATGTAATATTCAGGTGACATTTGAGGCTAGGGCATGGAAAGGATACAGCTTCTGCCTCACTCTTTCTTGCGTTACCTGCCCCAGGAACCTGGCCAACATGTGAGGAAGCCCAAACTAGTCCATACAGAGGGCTCGTGTGGAGAGACCTGCTCAGAGAGGAGCTGAGGTCCCCAGCACGTAGCTAGCCTCCACTGCCAGGCATGTGAGTGGACCAGATTTCAGATTCTAGCCTCCAGCCTTTAAAGTTCCTAGCTGAGGCCACAGACATCATACAGCAGTGTAAGCCATCCTTCTGTGCCTTGTCCGAACACCTGAGCCGTGGAATCTGTGAACATAATAAATGGTTGTTTTACACTGCTAAGTTGGGGGGTAATTTGCCATGAGCCATAGTAATGGGCGCATTATCAATTAGGAACTGACTTGCATGGGAAAATCATTGAATTTGAAAAATCATTTGAATTGCTCTGATGACTTTATTCCTTTGATGGCTCATTTCCTCAGGTCTTTGTCAGACCAGTGAAGCTCAACTAACAAAGGAAATTGTACTAGGGTGCTAAAAGACAGGCGGGGCATATGGTCTCATCCCTTTCTCTTCCATGCAAGGATTATGGTGCCAGTTTAGATTAAAAAGAAACCTTGTCTCCTATGTAAGTTACAGAACTTCTCTCACTCACAATTTCTTCACCTGTATCGAAGGGCAAATGAATCTTACTGTAGAGCATACTTGAGAGGCTGACTCAGATCATCTATTTATTCTTTCATTCCACGAAGATTCTTTGGAGTATCTCCAGTATGTTGGGCACTTTGTTAGCTCCGAAGTAGTAGATTAGCAGCAGTTAGGCTGTGTGAAGCCACAGGAGATGCCGGTGTGCAGGGGCAAGTTACGCCTCCCTCCTCTAAAGTGTCCCTTACAAAACCAAGGCATTGTGGGAATATCCAGTTTCTTGTGATAACTTCTAGTGAAGCTCAGGGCCGTATATCTTAGGGCAAAACACAAAACAAAGTGCCAGTTAATATCATGACTCCTCTAGAAGCTGTTTTATGGGTGAATTCTATATTTAAGTAGACTTTAAAAAATAATTTTTTAAGCTGTGTGAGTCCAGTATGTCTGGTGATATTTACCAAGTATAATATAGATACTTAATATTTTGGAGTTTCATTTGGTCTTGTCATCTCCCAATATAGAAGCTGAAAATGCCAGCTGGTTGATTTCCTTGCCTCTCTAGGCAACTCGCGAATCAGACGTGTGCTTTAGGCTTGGCTCATCTGTCAGGAAAAAGTGGGACCCGGAAGTGGGGATAACCACCGTTGCATTCTGGTGATAGGTAGGGCCAGTGGGATGGCAGCCTTCTTTGTGGGTGTGGTATGTGGTTCTGCCACGGGAATACGTGTCAGCAGGAACTTTCAGTGGCTGGAGTTCAAATACATGCATTGATTTAAATGTAAAAGGACTGAACAGTCCAGTTAAAAGACATAGATTGGCAAAGGTAGATAAACCCTTCTAGAAGGGAGGATCCTAAAGATCAAGGAATCAAGGAAAGCAACAGACCTTGGGACCTTCCCATTCCCCTTCCAGGGCTGATTTTGGGCTGTTGTGTCGTCGCACAGTTGTGCTGAGTGTTTGTGCCCGGTGTCCGTTCTGATGTGTCAGTGCAGTTGTGCTGGGTATTTGTGCCTGGTTGTGGCTTCTCATTGGTCAGTGGCCTTCATAAATCAGTTATTAAATCCTTTATCACTCTTCCTCTTTCTCATTCTGAGATTTCCCTCCCATATATCCATCTCAAAATTGCAAAGTTATTCGTTTTTAAGTTTATTTATTTTGAGAGAGTGTGTGCACAGTGTGTGTGAGCTGAGGAGGGGCAGAGAGAGAGAATCACAAGCAGGTTCTAGGGAGCCCAACATGGGGCTTGAACTCATGAACCATGAGATCATGACCTGAGCTGAAATCAGAAGTCAGATACCTAATCAATTGAGCCATCCAGGTGCCCCTCTTCAAACATTTTTATGTGACCATATAAGCATTATATGTACATTATTAAAAAATCATAAAATTATAAAGGAAAAAAATCAACCTTCCTATTAATGGTCAAGGAGAGCAATTTTTATGTATTTATTTATATTCTTTTTCTTTTCATATAAACATCAGAAATGAGATCGTATCCTACATTCCCTTTTATATCACTGAGTCTTATATTATTGAATTTCTTCTAAAACTGGGGTTAGCTACTTTCTTATGTAAAGTACCAGACGGCAACTTTTTTAGGCTTTGCATGCTGTGTGGTCTCGTAGCTACTCAGCTCTGATATTCATTGTAAAAGCAGCCATAGAAATATGTAAATAATTAGGTGTGGCAGTGTTCCAATAAAACTTTTATTTATGGACACCGAAATTCAAATCTCATGTCGTTTTCACAGGTTGCAGAATATTACATTTGTTTTTATTTTTTTAACTATTTGAAAATATCAAATCATTCTTGGCTATGTGCTTGTGGTAGCAGGTTGGATTTGATCCTTGTACAACCAACAGCTTGCCAACGCTCATTGTACATTGTTGTCATTAGTTGCTGCATCATATTCTGTCTGTAGACAAACCCCAGAGCTTATTTAACCAAATTGTTATTTAGGTTGTTTCCAACTTTTCACTGTCACAGACAACATTATGATAAACAACCTTGTAATAAATATGAATGTACTTTTGGAATTTTTCCTTAGAAAATTCTTAGAAGTAGAACTATGGTGTCAGTGGGGAAGCAGATAAGCATACGGAAGGATGCTCAACATCAAATGTCCTTGGGGAACTGCAGCTGAAGACAGCGAGATACCTACACGCCTATCAGAATGGCTAAAATCCACAACACTAAATGCTATCGAGGAGGTACAGCAACAGAAAATCTCATTGCTGGTGGGAACACAAGACAGCACAGCAACTTTGGAAAGCAGTTTGACCATTTCTTAGAAAGCTACATGGAGACTGACCATACAATCCAGCAGTCAGACTCTTTGACATTTTCCCTAGGTTAATTGAAAAATTGTCCACACAGAAACCTGCAGATGAATTTTTATAGCAGCTTTATTTGTAATCACCCCAAATTGGAAGCAAGCAAGATGTCTTTCTATGGGTAAATGTAGAAACAAACCATTGTATATCCATACAATGGAACGTTATTCTGCTCTAAAAAATAAATAAGCTATTGGGGCACCTGGATTTTTCAGTCGGTCAAGCGTCCGACTTCAGCTCAGGTCATGATCTCACAGTTTGTGAGTTCGAGCCCTGCGTCGGGCTCTGTGCTGACAGCTTAGAGCCTGGAGCCTGCCTCGGATTCTGTGTCTCCTCCTCTCTCTGCCCCTCCCATGCTCATGCTCTGTCTCTTGTCTCTCAATAATAAATAAATGTTTAAAAAATTAAAAAAAATAAAATAAAAAATAAATAAGCTATCAGTCTACAAAAAGACATAGGGAAAACTTAAATGCATACTGCTCTGTATAAGAAGCCAATCTGAACAGGCTATATACTGTATGATTCCAACTATATCCCATTCTAGAAAAGGCAAAGCTAAGAGACAGTAAAATAATCAGTGGTTGTAGGGGTGCCTGGGTGGCTCAGTCGGTTGAGCAGCTGACTCTCAATTCTGACTCAGGTCACTATCTTACGGTTTGTGAGTTAGAGGCCCACATTGGGGCTCCAAGCTGACAGCTCGGAGCCTGCTTGGAATTCTCTCTCTTTCTCTCTCTCTGCCCTTCCCCTGCTCCTCTCTCTCTCTGTCTCACAAAATAAATAAACATTAAAAAAAAATAATCAGTGGTTGTAGGAATTCAGTGGGAGGGAATGGTGAAGGGATTTTTAGGGTGCTGAAACTATTCTGTAATGGTACATACCTGCCATTATACATTTGTCAAAATCCATAGAATGTACAACACAAAGAGTGAACCCTAAGATAAGCTATGGACTTTACTTGCTAACATATTGATACTAGTTCATCAATTGCAACAATATGCCACACTAATGCAAGATGTAGATAATAGAAATGGAAACTGGGGGGTAGAGAGGGAAAGGGGGAAGGGTAGATGGGAACTCTATGCTTCCTGCTTAGTTTTTCTATAAACATAAAACTGCTCTGAAAACTAAAGCCCATTAATGAAATAACATATGCAAAGAAAATAATATATACTCATTGTAAAAGTTCTAAAGAACACAGAAGTATAAACTTAAAAAATGAAATCACCACCACCACCTCCACAGGTGCCCACTTGTAACAATTCAGTGTCCATCTGTAGAGATTTTTCTCTCCATATAAAATATATATGCATATGTTTTCCAAGACAGAACTTATATTATGAAATTTCTTTTTTATTTTGCTTTTTCTAAAACCTAACTATCATAAACATTTTTCCATGCCAGAAAATATAGATCTACCTAATTTTAACTGTTAACAATAGTCTATTGTATAGTTCTATCATAATTAATTTTCCCAGTTCATACTTATTGGTCATTTAGTTTGTTCACAAGGATTTTTTTTTTTTTTATTACAAAGTAGGTTGTGTTGAAAGTCTTGTGCCTTTATCTTTTGAAGTTGGTTACTGCCAGTTTCCAAAGTGCCCTCTTGCAAGTTTACTCAAATTTATACTCCCCTTGTGTTATTTATGTACCAGCCTCCTAACACCCTTGCCAACTCTGGATGTTATCATTATTATTTTTTTTAATTCTAGCCATGGTCTTTCATTCACTGAGCACTAATAGTGGTGGTGAAGTTAGATTTTCTGTGTAAGTTGCCTGAATAGTGTCCACTTGAACATGCAGAAGCTTCAGATGTTTTCTGTATCTCTGGGGCCTAATCATCCTCTTCTTGTATTCCTTGTTTTTTAGTTACGACAGTGGCCTGACTCATATACAAAGAAGTTCGAGCACCGAATCTACCCCATCACATTTTCGGTTGGAAACCCTCAGGAATGGAAGAAATTATTCAAACCGTGTGCTGCTCAGAGACTCTTTCTTCCGGTAGGAACACGAGCCTTTAATAAGGTGTTCTCAGGAGACAATTGCTCTTGCAAACATGGTGAAATTAACTGGTGTTAAACATTTTACTTAAAGCTGAAAATGTGTTTCTCTTGGATTCTGTAGTTGATTTTCTTACTCTTAAAGATATAGAGAAAGGGTTCTTTTGTGCAAGAAGTTGTCTTTCCAGGGGCACCTGGGTGGCTCAGTTGGTTGAGTGTCCGACTCTTGATTCCGTTCAGGTCATGTTCTGACGGTTCGTGAGTTCAAGCTCCACATTGGGCTCTGTGCTAACTGTGCAGAACCTGCTAGGGATTCTCTGTCTCCTCACTGTCTGTCTCTTTCTGTCTCTCTTTCTCTCTCTCTCCCTCAAAATAAATAAATAAACTTAAAAAAAAGTTGTCTTTCCACAAGATTGAGGGACTGAGAGCATCCAAAGCATGTCTTGTATTATGAGTCTTTGTGATTATTATTATTTCTCTTATAACAATAACTATTGCCAGGTGTAGCCATGCTAGGGAATAGTTCAAAAAAGGCCCAGAGTTCTGGATCAGGCTTTCAGTTTTTAATTTTTTAATTGAATGCTTTTGTTACCTTTTTAAAAATCCTAAATAGAAAAATCACTGAAGATATATCAAAAATTTTTTTAATGTTTATTTTTGAGAAAGAGACAGAGCGCAAGTAGGTTAGGAACAGAGAGAGGGAGACACAGAATTCAAAGCAGGCTCAGAGCTGTCAGCACAGAACCCAAGGTGGGGCTCAAATTCATGAACTATGAGATCATGACCCGAACTGAAGTCAGATGGTTAATCATCTGAGCCACCCAGGTGCCCCTCACCGAAGATAGATCAACACTGATGTCTATCATGGAGCAAAGATGGCAGCTTTGACTTATGAATTGCACTCTTGACATTTGTGACAGATTTGTGCTTTTGGCAAACATTTACTTGGTGCCCATTAAGTACTAGGCCTTGGGTTAGTGATGGCAATATGGTAATGAGCAAGTTAGCGATAGCCTTGCTCCCTTGGAGTTTGAGCCTAGCAGGGCACTGGACAGGTAATTGAAAGTATGATCTATGCTGAAGTCCCATGGATATATGTAACCTGGGGTTCCACACTGGTCGGAGAAAGGTCATAGAAGATTCTTTTGGGACGTTGCATTTATGCTGAGGCATGAACACCGGAGAAGTGGGGATCACTGGGTGGCAAGGGCCTGGTTGGCAATGAGAGAGAAGAGGGTATTAAGCAGATACAGTAATATGTTCAAAGGCCCTGAATTGGGAAGGAGCATGTTTGGGATAATAAAAGAAGGTAGAGTAACCAGAACATAGAGTGAATGAAGAGGCCAGTAGCAGTTGTATTGTCTGGTCTTTGTGTTAAGGACACTGAAAAGCCATTGACTGATCTCTAGCTTGGAAGTGGCATGATCTGACTTGTGTTTTAAAGAGGACACACTAGTTCATTGCAGTGTGGATGGTGGAATCGCTAGACCAGTTGCTGATGAGGTAGGCTATGGTGGGTGCCCTGAAGATGGATTCAGAACCTCCCCAAGAAGTAGTATTTACCAGTCCTCGTGATTGGCTAGTAGTAAGAGTTGAATTGGGAGAGTGCGGTGATAAGTATTTCACCCAGGTTTCTGACCTGAACAGATATTAAGGCTGATCTGTTTGAAATTGCCTATATTCAGCTATTGATGACCTTGTTATGGTTCATCCTACTTAATGGATGGTGGTCTTTGGAGAGATGGAAAAGGCAAAAGGGTGACCAGTTTTCATAGGAGGGAGATGAGTTTAATTTGGGTCCTATTTTGACTCAGAGGTACCTGGGAGATGGCCATGCAGAAAAATCTCACCGTGTGTCGGCTTGAAATCCTAAATGGCAAGTTGGTCCTTTTAGCATTTCTTACCCAGAACCCGTGAGAAGAAAAAGGCCTGGTGGTCCTTTTGGTGTCTGTGCACGCTCACTCACTCATGAAATGGCCTGTTTGTCACATGCCACGGACCTTCATGTGAGGTGGGATTAACTGCGTAAAAGTGTGGGTAAGGAACAACTAATTTAAACTGGAACTAAAATCTGTGTGTTGGTAATATAATAACTAATTACCATGTCAGAAGATGAGAAAAAAATGTCAGGTTTCTTTTCCTTATCTCTGTTTTAGGGGGGAAAATGTATTCAAAACCCAGGTTCCTAATGGAAAATTGTCTCTCCCACCTATCCAAAAAATATAAGCAACCCAGTAGAGCCACGTTTGAATTTTCCCTGACCTTGAGTTGTGCCTTTATTGCCACGATTAAAAAAACAAACCTATCACATGATGGTTTTCATTCATTCCCAGCTAAGTAAGCATTCCATTTTGAATGACAAATGAGTGCTGGTATTCCTTATCTGCTTTTGATAATGGAAACTAGCCCTCCTTAAAAATAATAAAGAGGGATTGTAGTTGACAGGACATTTACCTTCTCCAAGTCATGTATCATAACAGCAGATTATGAGCATGGCATTTTGGGACATCAGTAGAATGTATTGAACCTCAGGGTAATTTGAAGTAAAGTCTAGGTGATGTTTTCCTTGAAATTCATCTCTGTAAAACCAAATCAAATGTACTACTGAGCCAGCAGAGTGAAGATGGAGGTCCCAAAATGCGAACATTCTAGCAAGTGGTAGGTCAGTCGATTGAGAACCACAGTGTCACCCATATTCTGAGGCAGTGTCATCTACCCCAAGCCTGTAGAAATAAAACCCCTTCTCACATAAGATCTCACTATCAGAATAAGATCAGAGTACAAGTCTGCAACCAAAGCCTATTATTTTCTTAAGTACAATTAGTGGAATTCAGATCCCACCAATTCATGATTTATGAAGTCCCAGAAACCAGTGGACCTTTAATTTTCTATTTCTGTGAATAATGGTTCTAAGAGCAGGACCATTATTAGTGCAAAGTAAGCTCCAGCTGGCTTGTACTAGTAAGCTGTCTAAGATGCATACCACTTTCAGGTAGCTCAGAAGCTGAAAGTATTTAAAACAATCTGTTAATTAGAAATAAACCAAATCTGTTCATTCAAATTTATCCTAGAGTACTTTTCCCTTTTCCTTTAGTGACAGCCATAAAGCTTTCACTATGGTAAAAATAATGGAGTGTCATGAATTCATAATACCCTTCTCCCATTTAATTGGAATTACTGAGATTTTATAATGGCTCTATACATTTTGTTGCACACTCTGCCTCCTTGATTCCAAAAATCTACGTCCTCACTAATTGTGGTCTTCTGGGGACGCTAGAGATATTTAAAACATGACAGGGATCATTGAATTGCAGAATCTTCAGAGACTTTATTGGCAAATGGCATCCATTGTGGAAATTTACATTAGGTTAAGGTGCTATGTAGTTCTCACTGGAGGAGAAAGGCCCCCTTTAACAAAGTTTTGATAAATTCTAAGATTACAATAATGTCTCATGTCATTCTTGCTCCCAACACTTGGCCACAACCATCCATCTCAGAGGAAGAAGTTAGTGAAGGATATTGTCATGAGAGGTAGGATAAAATTGCTTACAGCCTTGACCTGTAAATTCTTCCTGAATTTTCTGGACATTTCGATATTTCTAACAAAGTTGACTCATCCTTTAATATTTCAAAGGCATACCATGACAAATAAATAGAAATGTTAGATTACCTAGGTTTTCTACATCACATCTCAAGTAGCAATATGTAATCTTTCCTTTTTCTGCTTACAGTTTGTTAAAGAGGTTTGTAACTGGTTCCAATATTTGGAAAACTGTATACTTACAAGAAATATTTTAATGAGTCAGCTATAAGCTAATGGACAAGAGAGGTTACCTGACTTATAAGAACTTTCTATAATTAAGGTCAGGCCTCTGTGCTATTATTAATATTATAACTCAGCGTTAGCAGTTAACATTCAGGCTTCCTTGGAACCAGTGCTTTGGACGTCAACAAATACTGACAGATATATGAGAACATATTAAAAATTCTTAGTAAGAGGAACATCTATTAGAATCACTACAAATGGGGCGCCTGGGTGGCGCAGTCGGTTAAGTGTCCGACTTCAGCCAGGTCACGATCTCGCGGTCCGGGAGTTCGAGCCCCGCGTCAGGCTCTGGGCTGATGGCTCAGAGCCTGGAGCCTGTTTCCGATTCTGTGTCTCCCTCTCTCTCTGCCCCTCCCCCGTTCATGCTCTGTCTCTCTCTGTCCCAAAAATAAATAAACGTTGAAAAAAATTAAAAAAAAAAAAAAAGAATCACTACAAATGATGTCTCTGTATTTCATTAAACATTAAGAAGCCATAAATTATTAGGATAAGATGAGCTATCAAAAAGATCCCTTGAGGGGCGCCTGGGTGGCGCAGTCGGTTAAGCGTCCGACTTCAGCCAGGTCACGATCTCCCGGTCCGTGAGTTCGAGCCCCGCGTCGGGCTCTGGGCTGATGGCTCGGAGCCTGGAGCCTGTTTCTGATTCTGTGTCTCTCTCTCTCTCTGCCCCTCCCCCATTCATGCTCTGTCTCTCTCTGTCCCAAAAAAATAAATAAACGTTAAAAAAAAAAAAATTAAAAAAAAAAAAAGATCCCTTGAAAATGACCCTCGATCCCAGTTTGGTTGAACAAGCTTTCCACACTCCTTATCATTTACTCACACACTATTAAAAGCTTGACATTCAGGATATTAGTTACAACTCTTGGTTACCTGTGAAAAAACTCAACTCCCAAGTAGCTAAAGAAAGAAGGAAATTTTTTGGCTTAACTGACAGTGAAATGCAGATGATCCCAAGCATAGGACTGATCTGGGGGCTCACATATGTCACCCAGGCTCTGAGTGCCTCTCCCTCAGTCCTTCCAGGGCTCACTCCAGGAGTATAATGATTGCTTGAAGCAGCCTGAGATCCAAATGCTAGAAGCTTAGCCTAGTAGAAAAAGCAGAAAAAGCAGAAAGGGTGGCTACTTCCAAAATGGTGGCAGAAGAACTCTGTGCAAATGTTCCCCAGAGAGATA